GAGTGCGGGTGGTGTGGGTGCAAGAGTGGTACGATTGGCTTTAGCCGTGTTCAATGCCCTCTCCGCAATCCTGGTCCAAAAGGCAGCAAAAATTGCATCTAGCTTAGTCAGGGTGTAGTTTGGCGGTTTTCCGTTTGTCTCCAAGTTTGCTGACTGGCGTGTGGTATCCGCCATTTTAGAGTTAGGGACTCGTGGTGTTCGCAGTCTTTGGGACGTGAGTGTCAGCGGTGGGTATACTGCTGGTGCCGGGATATCCCCCACCGGCAGGGGGGGGAGGGAGAAGGCTCGTGGGTGGACCTCCGCAGTGTCTGAGTTTGCTTTCAGGGGGTTCCGGGCCGGGCGATCGGCCGCCTCACCCATGCCCTCACCACCTTCCAGGCCGCTATTCAGGCTATTCGTCACTGCGGTAGGCCCCATCAATGCAGCCCGCCTTCCTGGCGGCTTAGAGTTTCAGGAGTAACTTCTGTATGTTCTCCTTTGCAGCCCCTACCTGGGTGATGCAAATTCAAACACTTTTGCAGCATGAGAACTGGGGTTATTTCGAGTAAAACAGGATTTCAGACGAGAGCTCTTGCTGCACGCGTCTGATCAGCTCCCCAGCCAGGCTCCGCCCCCCATGCCCCTTCACTATTTATGCAACAAAACATTTATTTTTATAGGTGTGTTTTTTTTTCCTTGTGTCTGGGGCTAGCTTTGCATAAATGTTCACTGTGACATTGATACCATTAATCCAATGGGGTAGTTAATGGCTTAGTAAAATTAGTGCTCTTCTAATTATTAGTTTACACAAAAAAAAAAATGAAAATGAAAAAAAAAAAAAAAAAAAAGTTCTCAATACAGCAATGGCAAAGCATTGCAGGTAATACAAATGGAGTACCAAGACTGTCCATTGTCATCACTGCTATATATCATGATCCATGCCCAAACCTGCTAATTGTTTAAGTAATGTGAAGGGCACAGCTTTACCATATGATCTTGATTTGTCCACTGACAGACTTAAATTCGCAGCAATTCTGTCAACTTCCGTGTTTATAGCTATCGCTTACTCTTACTGATCCCGATTCAACCCATTTTGATTAAAGTGCTTTGAGTAAGACATTATGCATGAAATGTATATTGAATTAATGTAGCCTGATTTCTTTGATCTGTCCTGTAGGTATAACTTTTACATTTAAAAAAGAGTTGGGACTATTATAGAGGGATACAGATTCCTATCCTATTCTTATTGTATGTACAATGCATGTAACGGAATTCTATTAAAATATTCTTTAGGTTTTGGGAATGTCAAACGTTCGATTTATCCGCTATAGTTACCGCTTTCAATTTTAGAGGATTTATAAGAAGGAGCTCAGTATGTGACGTGCCCGCTTCCTACAAATATTTTTGTTTATAAAAGAAATTTTATGTGGTACAAATATTGTAATCTTCCCAGTAATTTGTCATGCATTCTTAAAAACTTAATGTGCAATAAAACGGAATATTTGAAGTGATCTTTGATTTTTTGTTGCATTCATTTAAAATTGTAAATGTATTAAGCATTCATATCCAGACCTGCAAGCCCTGGATGCTTTCCAGTATCAGAGACTTCCAATATACATCTTCCTGGCTTTTTTTGACCCCTGTTGAACGTCAAACGTTTTCAAAGGATGTAATAAATAAAAGGGAAAGGAAAGCCGCGGTGTGTTACATTGAAGTCATCCCTTACGCACTGCAACTTGCTTAAATGTTTTAGTCCTTAAGTGTGCCATGTTTCTAACTGTATAAAAGGGCCAATATCAAGAGATACTGGCACTTTTAGAAAGCATCACTGGCCGTGAGACAGCTGGGAGGGTGCTAGTTTTCACTTGTCTTCAGTGCTCCATTCAAAGTATATGTGAGGGTTTTACATAGTGAGGTATTTGTTTTAATGATTCTCTGTTACAGATTGTCGCGCATGTGCCTTGCCTCATTATTTGTATTTATCATACTGGAGTCTTCGTTTAATCTGCCAGTGAATTAAACATATGTGCTTAGAGTTGGCCTCCGGAAAGAGACTGGATTCAATGCCTCTTCTGATGTCGACTGGCCAACAGTGCTGCTGGTCAAAGTTCTGCAAATATAGGTTACAATTACACATGGCTTCAGTAAAGAGCTTGTAAATCTCCAAACAATCTAAAACTTACAATATCCGGCATAAGAAAATAATCAAAACACACAAGATCTAAAAATATTACAAGATATTTATTTTGGGATTGGCAGAGAACACTCACAGTATAGACATCATTTATACAACAGATGTGTAAAATACACAAATTGAAGAGGTGTGTTGGATAAGCTGTCCGTATTTACAGAATTTTGTGTCAGGTTCTTAAATGGGGTAAAACCACTTATGTTGGAGGAATCTTCATTGTTCACTGAATTTCTAGGGATTGATGTATCCGGTCCAAATAAAACCGACAAGAAAATACTATTCTGGGAGAGAGAAGACAAATAACATATTGTAACAGTACAAAACATCAAGCACATTACAGCAGGTACAATGGAGGAGACACCAGCACAGCCAAGTGCTTTATGGGCACTGCCAGCATCTCTGTGTATTTCAGTTCAATTGTTAGGTTTCTAATTTATAAATCTGAACTACAACTGCAAGAAACCAAGTCATGACAAATTGCTTATGGAGCAAACATCCCACCCAGCACAACCGTACCCTAACCTACACAATGCATCCAACATGTGAGAGAGCCTGGAGTGTCCCTTTAATAATATAAAGCCACAAAGTATAACTAACTGTAACCTAACACAGTGCATCTAACGTGTGGGAGCTTGGAGTGTCCCTTTAATAATATAAACCCACTAAGTATAACTAACTGTAACCTAACCTACACAGTGCACCTAACGTGTGGGAGCTTGGAGTGTCCCTTTAATAATATAAACCCACCCAGTATAACTAACTGTAACCTAACCTACACAGTGCACCTAACGTGTGTGGGAGCCTGGAGTGTCCCTTTAATAATATAAACCCACCCAGTATAACTAACAGTAACCTAACGTGTGTGGGAGCCTGGCGTGTCCCTTTAATAATATAAACCCACCCAGTACAACTAACTGTAACCTAACCTACACAGTGCACCTAACGTGTGTGGGAGCCTGGAGTGTCCCTTTAATAATATAAACCCACCCAGTACAACTAACTGTAACCTAACCTACACAGTGCACCTAACGTGTGTGGGAGCCTGGAGTGTCCCTTTAATAATATAAACCCACCCAGTATAACTAACTGTAACCTAACCTACACAGTGCACCTAACGTGTGTGGAAGCCTGGAGTGTCCCTTTAATAATATAAACCCACCCAGTATAACTAACTGTAGCCTAACCTACACAGTGCATGTAACGTGTGTGGGAGCCTGGAGTGTCCCTTTAATAATATAAACCCACCCAGTATAACTAACTGTAACCTAACCTACACAGTGCATTTAACGTGTGTAGGAGCCTGGAGTGTCCATTTAATAATATAAACCCACCCAGTATAACTAACTGTAACCTAACCTACACAGTGCACCTAACGTGTGTGGGAGCCTGGAGTGTCCTTTAATAATATAAACCCACCCAGTATAACTAACTGTAACCTAAACTACACAGTGCATCTAATGTGTGTGGGAGCCTGGAGTGTCCCTTTAATAATATAAACCCACCCAGTATAACTAACTGTAACCTAACCTACACAGTGCATCTAACGTCTATGGGAGCCTGGATTATCCCTTTAATAATATAAACCCATCTAGTATAACTAACTGTAACCTAACCTACACAGTGCATCTAACGTGTATGGGAGCCTGGAGTGTCCTTTTAATAATATAAACCCACCCAGTATAACTAACTGTAACCTAACCTACACAGTGCACCTAATGTGTGTGGGAGCCTGGAGTGTCCCGTTAATAATATAAACCCACCCAGTATAGCTGTAACCTAACCTACACAGTGCACCTAGCGTGTGTGGGAGCCTGGAGTGTCCCTTTAATAATATAAACCCACCCAGTATAACTAACTGTAACCTAACCTACACAGTGCACCTAATGTGTGTGGGAGCCTGGAGTGTCCCTTTAATAATATAAACCCACCCAGTATAACTAACTGTAACCTAACCTACACAGTGCATCTAACGTGTGTGGGAGCCTGGAGTGTCCCTTTAATAATATAAACCCACCCAGTATAACAAACTGTAACCTAACCTACACAGTGCATCTAACGTGTGTGGGAGCCTGGAGTGTCCCTTTAATAATATAAACCCACCCAGTATAACCAACTGTAACCTAACCTACACAGTGCATCTAACATGTGGGAGCCTGGAGTGTCCCTTTAATAATATAAACCCCACCCAGTATAACTGTAACCTAACCTACACAGTGCACCTAACGTGTGTGGGAGCGTGGAGTGTCCCTTTAATAATATAAACCCACCCAGTATAACTAACTGTAACCTAACCTACACGGTGCATCTAACGTGTGTGGGAGCCTGGAGTGTCCCTTTAATAATATAAACCCACCCAGTATAACTAACTGTAACCTAACCTACACAGTGCACCTAACATGTGTGGGAGCCTGGAGTGTCCCTTTAATAATATAAACCCACCCAATATAACTGTAACCTAACCTACACAGTGCATCTAACGTGTGTGGGAGCCTGGAGTGTCCCTTTAATAATATAAACCTACCTAGTATAACTAACTGTAACCTAACCTACACAGTGCATCTAACGTGTGTGGGAGCCTGGAGTGTCTCTTTAATAATATAAACCCACCCAGTATAACTAACTGTAACCTAACCTACACAGTGCATCTAACGTGTGTGGGAGCCTGGAGTGTCCCTTTAATAATATAAACCCACCCAGTATAACTAACTGTAGCCTAACCTACACAGTGCATCTAACGTGTGTGGGAGCCTGGAGTGTCCCTTAATAATATAAACCCACCCAGTGTAACTAACTGTAACCAAACCTACACTGTGCATCTAACACGTGTGGGAGCCTGGAGTGTCCCTTTAATAATATAAACCCACCCAGTATAACTAACTGTAGCCTAACCTACACAGTGCATCTAACGTATGTGGGAGCCTGCAGTGTCCCTTTATTAATATAAACCCACCCAGTATAACTAACTGTAACCTAACCTACACAGTGCATCTAACGTGTGTGGGAGCCTGGAGTGTCCCTTTAATAATATAAACCCACCCAGTATAACTGTAACCTAACCTACACAGTGCATCTAATGTGTGTGGGAGCCTGGAGTGTACCTTTAATAATATAAACCCACCCAGTGTAACTAACTGTAACATTACTGGGAGTATTTTTGCTGTGGAGCTCTGTTATACACTCAGACACATTACTGGGAGTATTATTGCTGTGGAGCTCTGTTACCCACTCAGACACATTACTGGGAGTATTATTGCTGTGGAGCTCTGTTATACCCTCAAACACATTACTGGGAGTATTATTGCTGTGGAGCTCTGTTATACACTCAGACACATTACTGGGAGTATTATTGCTGTGGAGCGCTGTTATACACTCAGACACATTACTGGGAGTATTATTGTTGTGGAGCTCTGTTATACACTCAGACACATTACTGGGAGTATTATTGTTGTGGAGCTCTGTTATACACTCAGACACATTACTGGGAGTATTATTGCTGTGGAGCTCTGTTATACACTCAGACACATTACTGGGAGTATTATTGCTGTGGAGCCCCGTTATACACTCACACACATTATTGGGGGTATTATTGCTGTGGAGCTCTATTATACACTCAGTCACATTACTGGGAGTATTATTGCTGTGGAGCTCTGTTATACACTCAGACACATTACTGGGAGTATTATTGCTGTGGAGCTCTGTTATACACTCAGACACATTACTGGGAGTATTGTTGCTGTGGAGCTTTGTTATACAGTCAGACACATTACTGGGAGTATTATTGCTGTGGAGCTCTGTTATACACTCAGACACATTACTGGGAGTATTATTGTTGTGGAGCTCTGTTATACACTCAGACACATTACTGGGAGTATTATTGCTGTGGAGCTCTGTTATACACTCAGACACATTACTTGGGAGTATTATTGCTGTGGAGCTCTGCTATACACTCAGACACATTACTGGGAGTATTATTGCTGTGGAGCTCTGTTATACACTCAGACACATTACTGGGAGTATTATTGCTGTGGAGCTCTGTTATACACTCAGACACATTACTGGGAGTATTATTGCTGTGGAGCTCTGCTATACACTCAGACACATTACTGGGAGTATTATTGCTGTGGAGCTCTGTTATACACTCAGACACATTACTGGGAGTATTATTGCTGGGACGCTCTGTTACACAGTCAGACACATTACTGGGAGTATTATTGCTGTGGAGCTCTGTTATACACTCAGACACATTACTGGGAGTATTATTGCTGTGGGGCTCTGTTATACACTTAGACACATTACTGGGAGTATTATTGCTGGGACGCTCTGTTATACAGTCAGACACATTACTGGAAGTATTATTGCCATGGAGCTCTGTTATACACCCAGACACATTACTGGGAGTATTATTGCCGTGGAGCTCTGTCATACACTCAGACACATTACTGGGAGTATTATTGCCGGGGAGCTCTGTTATACACTCAGACACATTACTGGGAGTATTATTACTGTGGAGCTCTGTTATACACTCAGACACATTACTGGGAGTATTATTACTGTGGAGCTCTGTTATACACCCAGACACATTACTGGCAGTATTATTACTGTGGAGCTCTGTTATACACTCAGACACATTACTGGGAGTATTATTGCTGTGGAGCTCTGTTATACACTCAGACACATTACTGGGAGTATTATTGCTGTGGAGCTCTGTCATACACTCAGACACATTACTGGGAGTATTATTGCTGTGGAGCTCTGTCATACACTCAGACACATTACTGGGAGTATTATTACTGTGGAGCTCTGTCATACACTCAGACACATTACTGGGAGTATTATTACTGTGGAGCTCTGTTTACACTCAGACACATTACTGGGAGTATTATTGCTGTGGAGCTCTGTTATACACTCAGACACATTACTGGGAGTATTATTGCTGTGGAGCTCTGTTATACACTCAGACACATTACTGGGAGTATTATTACTGTGGGGCTCTGTTATACACTCAGACACATTACTGGGAGTATTATTACTGTGGGGCTCTGTTATACACTCAGATACATTACTGGGAGTATAATTGCTGTGGAGCTCTGTTATACAGTCAGACACATTACTGGGAGTATTATTGCTGTGGAGCTCTGTTATACACTCAGACACATTACTGGGAGTATTATTTCATACTGTGAGCACTATTGTTGTATTTTCTATACTTTTTTATGGTCTTCATACTGACGAAACACCTGTCTATCAACATCTCTTCACGTATTCTATAAGTGGGGATTTTACCACTCTATGCTATTCCTACTAGAGCTGGGTTTTAGCTCTAACAAATGTGAGTAGGACCACAAAGACTTATTTTATTGTTATTACTTTTCAATGGGATATATTGCACAATTAGTCTTTTCTCTCTGTTTTTATATACGGCTCCAAAGGATAATCTGATTTGGCTCTTTTATAGTAGAATATATCTTCTGGCAAGTTTTATATTGGGACATTTTATTGTTATTATTCTAGTTTGGTCTGTTTTATTATATTTTTCCTTCTTTATACTAGTGATTTTTTTACTATTTTGGCGCCTCCATTCCCCTTGTTACAATCCTGACACTCAACAACTGGACCCCAAAACTGACCCCCTCCTGATTGCTCCACCCCCACACAACTCGTTTATTACTCTGTGACATATCTTATCATTTCTGTACATTGGGTTTAGGTTAGACAACAGTGCTCTCTCTTCCCTACTGAAACTATAACTCTTTGCCCCTCGAGTACTTAAACGCCACGTCCTCTAGATTGTAAGCTCTTTAAGCAAGGCCGTTCTCGCTTCTCGTTTCTTGCTGCAATGCGTTTGTTTTATACCCATTGTACATTGCTGCTAAGTTATGACTTGCCTGCATTTCTTCCTGTAATCATTTTGTGATTATAACGATGGCGGAAATCACGCCATGGATGAGATGATGTAAATACTGTTATATTATCTATTTACGCAACACTCAGCCACATCCCATTACAACATAACAAGAGGCAACTCATTACTCACAACAAATTTATTTCCTAAACAAAATACTCTAATTGGGGGGATATATATATTTTTTTTATTGAGTGTGCAAGAGGTGCACTCCAAACAAGCCATTTGTGCTCGAGCAATT